ACAACAATTGTTGTCTCTCTGAGGTCAAGGTCCCTCCATTAGATAATCACTAATTATTACACACAACGTGTAGGAAGAGGAAACAAAGCTACCCAGAAGAGTACAGATTTCATCTGCAACACTGATAAGGACCAAAGAACACTTTAAATCATAATTAATACTAACATTCTAAGGTAATTTATTTAGCACCAACAGTTAGCACAGCATTGCATGAACAAGAGCCTGATTCTGCTCTTTCTTACACTGGAGTAACTCCATTTATGTGACTGAAGTTAAAAGCAGGGTGATAAGAGTGTCAACCTTACAATCTCCGTCTCATTACTGGTGGCACTTCACATATAATAGTCATAACAATGGCTCCTTCCCAAGGAGTTTACCTTGATTCTTTCCCCCTAGGCAAGAGCTTGTGACTTTGTCTTCCTGTCCAGTCTAACCTCCTCTGTGGAGTTTGCCTATGAGAGAAGGTGAGTCAAGATTCCTGGGTATTATAACTAGCCCTACACCTGGCTAAATGAAGACACTTAATCTCTCTGCCTCAGGCTATTTCATCGTTAAAACAAGACTATTTATCCTTTTTACTCACAGAAGTGTAAAGACCTTAATTATTTTATGCTCATGGCTTAATGTTTGTGACATCCTTGAATGCAATGTGCTGGATCCTACAGGTGTAAATTATTATTTAGTTAATATGATTATTAATGACAGATTTATTGCACCTGTAAGACCAAGTGAAAATTCCTTTCAGTAAGCTTTTAAAATTTCTCATCTAAAATGTATTAATTTTATTTTAGGATCATCACTTGGAAAATAAATCACTACAAAATTACTGAAATTGCCAAAATGCTTGCAAGTTTCTGGGCGGGCAGGATTTACGGATACCACTACAGTCGCAACTTAAGAATATAATGGTGTCAGACTTAAGGAAGAAGGTAGCTTGTTCTTTGACAGGATGAAAGGTTTAAATGTGATCCATTGAGGTTTATGGAGCAGCATCAAGTTAAAAGCAAATGTAGTTTAAAGTTTTAATCTCGCCCCCACTCTGCACACATGGCTTCCATTCATGTTAAGGGGAGTTTAATGCTTTGAACTGCCGAGTGAGAATAAACCCCTACAGTATTAAGAAGGAAGCTTGAAGTGATTTTCAGCTGGAGAGATTCATCTGTGAACAGATGAGAATAAAGAGAGACAAAACTCACTGAGAAACATGCTGGAAAAATGTTTTGGAATAAGCTAAGAGAAACATTTGTTAACATTTCCAGCTTGCTCCACAATGGTGGCCAAATCCAGAAGAGTGGATCCAGGACACCCAAGAGCTCAAGATGTGACATGTACTGTCCTCACTTCACTTTCTCAATAACCTTCCCTGAAAACATTCGGGTAGAGACTGGTAGCTGGCACCACGCTTTAATAACTCACTATTTAGTGAATATGATGCATCCCTCCCTAGTGAATGCTCTACAAGGGATAGTCTGATAGAGACTCACATTTCTTAAGCACTGGAGGTCCCAAATTCAATCCCCGGTGATGACCTGTTATGACAATCATTATCCTTTCACCAAGGAAAGCATTAATAGGTCTCAATAATTAGCCCCAAGCTTTCTTGATCATCTTTACAAGCCAAGAAGTGCAGGTCCACCTGCCAGCTAACTGGCTGTAATTACCTCAACATTGAAGATTTCACTGAACAAAATTGTACAAAATCCACCCAAGATGGTACTGCATTGAAAACATCCCGGTGACACTGATTCCAAGTGTCACTCACTCAGCTTGGGTAGATTGTTGCAGCAAAGTAGATTGAAAGCTTGTAGATAGAGAAACTCAACTCTTTAAAAGAGTAAGATAAAAAGGTCTCACTACAGAGCCCAACACGACTGGTTCTGTTGGACAAGGACTTGCTGATGGTATGTCTGAGGAAGAGAATATCTCCTTTGACTCTGTCACAGTCACAGCATAGGAATGTGATACAATCTATCTGGCTTAGAAGGTTTTTTCTTCAAATCAGTTCTCCAACCTCCCATCCTTACTACTTTATCATTTGTAGGCCATCTGAAACTAGTATGAGTTGCAAAGATGATGGGGAGGGTGGCATTTTAGTGCTAGGCACAATAAATAAAGATAGGGGGCAAGATTTGTAAAAAAATAGGGACCTAAAATTAGGTTCCTAAATCCATTCTTGTACCTAAAGAAATGGCCTGATTTTCAAAAGTAGGTAGTTCTTTTTTAAGGGAGGAATTTTCAAAATGTGTATAAGTGACTTAAGAGACCAAGTCCCATTGACTTTGAATGGGACTTGTGCTCCTAAATCGCTTAGGACCTTTGAAAATCTCATCCTAGGTGCCTAGTTATAGGCACCTATTTTTGAAACTCTCAATTTGGGTTTTGCGAAATCCAAGATCAATATAAATGCAGTATTACCAACCCTAAGCATTCAAAAATCATGAGCCAGGACCCCCCAAAAATAATGAGACTGGTTTAAATCTTACCTGCCTTTTGATTTCTGAGCCTGTAGGAGGCACTTGGGTCACATTTTCAAGCTTTTCTCTGAAACTTTGAGGGTTAGAAACTCATTTAAAAATAAAAAGGAAACGCTGAGATTCTCACGTAATCACAGGATTCCAGGAACTGAGGCTTTAAAAAAACCAAAATCTACCATGAGACCTGCACTAAAATCATGAATGTTGGTAACACTATAAATGTTAACTTCCTGACCCTAGTAAAAAGGTTTTTTTATTTGGACTTTCCTGCAGAAGTGTTTGGAAACCAAATATTTTTCTGAGGTAACCCAAACCCTGCAGCACTGCGCTTGTTCAGAGGAAACAAAGTGAAACTGACTAGAAACTGAGTGCAAATTTCAGTGAAAGTAATTTCTCTGTTTTCATTATCCAAGCTGAATATTAGAAGCAAATGAAAACAAAGAGCACTAATGGTGGAAAGCAGTGTTTTAAAAAATGTTTTCAGTTTTTATAATACAAGTTTCTGCTAAGAACACCATTAGTAGATAAAGAACTTGAACTATTGAATCATTTAACCAGGGCTTTGCAGTAGTAAGAAAAAAAAAAGACTCTTTGTGGAATGGAAGGCACTGTATTCCTGAGCACTAGCAGGACCAGGTCATTCGAGAGGAGAAGGGTGGGAGTGGGATTGAGAAGAATAGCAAGACTGAGATAACAACAATTGATTTCAGAGGGAGTGCTCATGGAACAGCATGCTACTTAACACAAGAAGGGTGGCAGAAACAGGCCCTCAGTCAATCATCTGTGAGGCTGAATGATCAAGTGATGGCGACAGATATACATTTTCCTAGGATGACAAATGGGATGCACTGCACCAACATTTACTTCCTTCCCATTGTCTGGATAAATGAGCTATTGCACAAACAACCAATGCTTCCTGTTTGTAGGGTAATATAGTCTGTCACTATCATGCAAAATAAATATTCGTATCCACCACAAATATAACAGACTGTATCAGATGACTACTAGGTCATATAAATTTTGGTTTCTCCTAGCATAACTATTCTAAATTATTTATCAACTCAAAATTGTTATCCACAGTCTCTATAGGCATGTTACCACTCAGCCATCCCAACCTCCCCCAAACCAACACAATGCATCTCCATTGGGCTTGCTTTCTTGTGCTGTAAGATCTCAAAGTCACTGTGTGTCACTCTATTTGCACTACATGTTATCTGCTTTACATTATTTCGTGAGCTGGTGTCACTCCTACCTAACATTGTCATGCCTCTGAATGTAAATCTTGTGAAAAATCCTTTCGGGTGGCTTCAGGAAATCTTCCTTCATTTCCATGGCAACGTTCCTGGGCAAAAGACTCATCAGGAGACGCTCCTAAAAGAAAATGCAAACCCATTAGTTTTGGGGTGTAATTTTCCCCCCAGTCAGCAATTCTGAACAAAATCGAACCATTTCCCCTATTCCAGCATATGTCCTGAGGATTTCTGTTCCATAAAGAACATGAACCCTTCCTCTCTTATATTTCTGCTGCCTGTGGGAGAGTTTTTTTCAAATTCCTCTGTACAACATAAAAGACCATACAGTAAGGAAACAGCTAGTTTCAAGAGTAAATCATTGTCCATAATTATACTTATAACCATAAAACTAATAATAACAACTTACTGTATCACCAGTATCATTTATCTGGGAAGGAATTCCAAGAACATTTACTATGCTTTTGTATCTACTGGTTTGGAACTTAATCAAAGTGTTACTGGGTCTATTAAAGCAGGTTTTTAAACAGTGCAATCTGCTATAATTTTTTCCACACAGCCTGAATCAACTGAACAGTAATAAAGGTACATTTTTATAAAATATAGGCCAGCATGGAAACAGTGGTTTTATCATATGTCGCTCTCCTGCTTACCCAAAATCCCATATTTCCAAAGGTTTTGGATCCCTCTGATATTGGTTACATTATATTCCCCAAATGGTGACCTACTCATAGGCACTTTAAAAACTTGTGAAGGCTACCCTATTTAGAGAGTTCCAGAAGTCCTCAAAGAGAACACAATCTGAGCACCAGCACTTCTTCACATTTAAAACTCAAATATGCCAATTTTTGCCCTAAGATGCATTTGAATTTAAGGACCCAACTCTGCAATCAGATCTGTTAGCATCCCATATGGGAGATGGAACCCATGCTGCCACATCTGATTGCAAGATTCAGAGCTAAAATAGTGGGAGTTGCGAATGACTGCCCAAGAGCAAACTTTGGCCCAGCATTTCTCCTTATTTCAGTTGGCCAAGAAAAGTAAAGGGGACAAAAATTAAATAAAGTGAAATAAACAGTAAAAGAAAGAAAGAGAATGGAGAAAGAGAAGTGGTTAATATGAGGTTTGATCAGACTAATGCTCTGCATTGTTTGGTAACATTTTACCACATACTCCTTATGCTCTAGCCATGAGCTCGGGACAGGACTAAAGTACAACACAAGTCTTCCAACTTTGAGTTCTGACCTATAGTGTTGCTTCCAAAGGCTAATGCTTCAGATATTTACATCATGGAGGAGTGAGTTAAATTTTGCAAGAAAAAGATTACTGACCCCTGATTCTCATTTACAGTAAAGCCCCTTAACATTCCTGTAGCAGCATAAATGAGAATTAAGTCCCATTAATTTTAATTAGGTTTCTTAATATCCAGGTATAAACTATAGTAAATAAAGTCAAAGAACATGCAGAAATTAAATATTTGTGAGTGGCTTTATACATCAACCAATTCCCTTGCAGAAAAGTCCTAGAGCATTTTAGGAAAATATACTCTTACTATAAGTTTCTGTTTAATTACCTGTGTAATTTTATATTCCTGCTATTGATGGGACTGGAAAACAGGATATATCACTCGATTAAATTGCCCTGTTCTGTTCACTCCCTCTGAAGCATCTGGCACCAGCCACTGCTGGGAAATGGGATACTGAGCTAGATGACCCAGTATGGCCATTCTTATATTCTTAGAATTTTACAATGTGGTTCAAAAAACCCTAGTGGGCCAGGCTATGACAGACCCTTACAAAGGTGAGTGGGGGGTGGAAGGGATATCTTGCATAGTCCCTATCCTCACTTAGGGTACATCTTCACTACCCGCCGGATCGGCGGGTTGTAATCGATCCCCAAACGCGCTCCCCGTCGACTCCGGAACTCCACCAGAGCGAGAGGCAGAAGCAGAGTCGACAGGGGAGCCGCGGCCATCGATCCCGTGCCATGAGGATGTGAAGTAAATCGATCTAAGATACGTCGACTTCAGCTACGCTATTCTTGTAGCTAGGGTGACCAGATGTCCTGATTTTATAGGGACAGTCCCGATTTTGTGTTTTTTTTTTCTTATATAGGCACCTATTACCCCCCACCCTCTGTCCCAATTTTTCACACTTGCCCTCTGGTCACCCTACTCGTAGCTGAAGTTATGTATCTTAGATCGATCCCCCCCCCCCCCACGTGTAGACCAGCCCTAAGGAACATAGGGACAGCTCCCACAGTACACATCAGAAATGTACAGAGCTCCATAAAGTGCAGAGAAGGCAGTGGGACAGGCACTGCATAGGCTAGATGGAATGCAGGCTGCACCACCATATAGCTGATCACATGTGTTAACAAGAAAGGTTCACATCTGAGCTGGAATTCAATTGGCTATAACAAGAAAGT